AGGACTGAGAATAGGTCACTAATTTGGCAACTAAGATTATTAGTAACTCTGGAGAGGGCACTTTCAGGGGAATTAAGGTCAGAAGCTAGATTGTATGGGGTTAAGAAGAAAATAAGAGGAGAGAAGTGAAGGCACAGGCACCTACCGTAGATGGTTACAAAAGGTAGAAAAGCTACAGGACAACAGTAAGCTGGGATGGAAGGATCAGGTGAAGTTTTTTTTTTCAGGTTGAGGCAGGAAAAGACTGAAAATAAGTGACAGATGGGGGTAAAAGAGGGGACAATCTGTTTTAGCAAAGAGGATGGAATGGCATTGCTTGATCAAGCAGAGGGATTAGTTTGGTAAGGAGTAAGACCACTTCATGTGAGCCAGGGATGAATGAGAAGAGTGGGAAAAGAAGCATTAGTATTGTGAGATGAGGAAGAGGACAGAAGAATTCACAGTGAATGGCCTCATTTTTTTCCATGGGAAGTTAGAGGGATGAAAAAGTTCGGAAGAGCCACTGTGGACAGTGGGATAGTGAGCTGATAAGGCAAATATGATAAGAATGCTTAGCCAGCAGTGATGGCTCAGTTGAGGTTGTGTAACAGAAATTCGTAGTGGACCAAATCAGAACAATTAGCATGATTTTCTCCACCTTTGTTCAACAGCACAAAGGCAGCAAATGATGGGAGTGATCCAAGGTTGAGGCTTAGCAGTTTTGCTTTAAGATTTGCAAAATGTTCTACATATATTACCTCATTTGATCTTCATAACAACACTATGAGGTAAATGCTATTATTATCCCCATTCTGCAGATGAGGAAACTGAGGCTGAGAAGTTGTTTAAGTGACTTGCCCACGGTCACATAGCTATGTGTCTGTCCTAATTCCATGTCCAACACTCTATCCACTGCATACGTAGCTACAAAAATGCCTTTTCCCTTAAGAATGCAACATTTGGCAAAAGACAATGAAGCCGGGTATAAACCTTATAAAAAGCAAACTCTCACATCTTTTGTTAATACCATGATGGTTATCTACATAGACATTCAACTAAACTCCAACTGTATTTGTTGACTATGTTAGACGCCATTATCCATACCGGAAACCCTTAAAAGATTTTTTTTAAAATTAAGTACAAAAGAGCAATATATAGTTACTTCTACATTTTGAGGAAATAGTTGACAGATCAAATATAGGACGTTTAAGACAAAATTTTAGATAGAACACCTTTTTCCTTAGTTATTAATTAAAACAAACATCTATCAGAGAAGCATTCCTTCCTTTCAATGAGATCCCAGGCAATGTGAGGGATTGCCTGGAGGATATTTATCCCTATGGTCTGAGGCAATCTATGTAACACAAGTGGTTAGGACATATAGGGAAGTCATATCCTTTGAAGTGTCATTAAGCAGCAATCACTTATTCTAAACACAAGGGTTTTTGGCTTTTTTTGCTCTTTGTAGAAACAACTATAGTAGTTAAAGGAAAGAAATAAAGAGAATAAATTCAAGGACTTAAGGCAGATAGGTTTATTTCCAAATCTTAAGTCTGTCAACAGCTATCTGCTACCACCTACAGTTTAGAGAAGCAATTGCTATAAAACAAATCTGTCTGATTTTAACATTGGAATACCAAAAAGGCAGAGTTCACAATAGAAACTCAGGCAAGAGGTAAGAGTGACACAGATTTACCAAGATACCCACAATAACTGTTATTATGACAACATCAACCATTATGGTATAGCAGAAATATTTGATTTGCAACCAGAAACTTGGATTCAAATCCAGCCTCTGCCTTACTACCTGTGTGACCTTGGAATGGTCATTTCAACTCTCTGGGTCTCAGTTTCCTTATCTGTACAATGAAGGGGTTGTATTCTAAAGGGGACTCTTCCAGGTCTAAATCTATGATGCTATGAAGCATTTTTCTATAAAGTAAATTATTAAGTATATTACCCCAATATAATACAAAAAAGGAGGCAGGTTTACAAGGCCCGTGAAGGTCAGAGCACTTGGGACTAGAACTCATGTCTTTTGAGCCCAACACCTAACCTTCTAGTTTCTGAGTTGCTGAACACAACATCTTAAGAGTGCTGTGAAGATTACAATGGCAAAACACTCAGAAAACACTGAAAGTACTGGAGAAATCAGTCCTTCAAACTGTCCTAAGACTAGAAGGGGAGATTCACACGTTTTTAAGCAGTCTCATAAAAAAGGTAAACAGTGGCTTTGCCAAAATTACTGTCTTTGAAATCAGAGATCATTTCTCTTACAAACATTTACACAAAGAGATGCAGTCTGTTTCATAAATAACTTTCAAAGGTCTTCTTGAAATGCTTCCTTAGAGTGTAAATTACCAGCAATTCTAGGGAGATCTATTGTTAATGGAGACTTTTGGAGATCTTTTTTTAAATTACTTTATGGTTAAAACTGATTTATCACTAATCCTTGTCTATCCTCCTGTGGAAAATTGATCCATCTGATTATCTCTACCTTGATGAGTACTTATTGCCTGCTAATGCTGAATTTCAATTTCTTAGAAATGGCTTTAACAAAATTAAGACTCCCTTTTAAAGTCCTAGGGCTTTGCCAGAAGCACAATACAAACTCTAGAGGTTCCTACACCAGGCAAGATTATTGAGCACAGGTTAAGCAACAATATGCCTATCACTGGGGAGCAGAATCCCTAAATTCAGAAAGTTTGCTATCAAGTGATAATGATGATTTTTTTTTTTTACCACAATAACATCCTGAAGGCCATCTGCTAAAGCATGGCCTGGTTATCTGGGCTGACAGAAGGAGCATGCACAATGACAAAATCTTGGAAAGTATTAAAATGAAGTTCTGCCACAAATTTTTCTTTAGAATGAAAACCCAGTTAATTAAACCCAGATGAAGAGGTGATATATTCTCTAGTTCAGACTCAGCTTGACAATACCCCTGTGGCATTTGTCCAGTGTTCATTTAGACCAAATACTAATAAATATAGCAAGCTGTCAATGAATGCAGGCAGGTTTAAAAATAAGACATGTTAAAATCTAGGGAAAATGAAAAATGAGAAAGAAAATATCTTTTGTGATATTAACAGGAATTCCATAGAGGCATAATAGATGAAATTATAGGCCTTTCCAGAGGCAACCAGAGAAAAGCCCAATGAAAACAATTCATTTCCCCCCAAGTATGCTGATGTTGCAAAGATATTTAAATCAAGCAGAAATATAGGATGGAAGAAATATAGACTCTAGAAAAAAGAGAGAGTATAAATATCTGCCAGAGTTAGACCCATATTTAAAATGCTGAAGGGTAATCTTTAGAACAGTTCTTAAGGAAAATTCTTTTGCTTTGATTCAATGTTCACCAAGCAAGCTTCTGAACTATTATGTAATTTGGTTTTCTGAATTTGCACACACACACACACACACACACACACACAGATAAGAACACCCCAGTGCTAGCCATCATACCCATTATATATGAACAAATTGGCAGTCTGGCTTTATGATAAGTTTGCTTAGCATCAATTAATTCATCTGAACCTGAAAGAACTAATAAAACTCAGTTGCAGGATACACAAGACTGAAAACCTTGGATGGGTAGATACACCATGGTGCACTAACCTTGGAAGTCCTTGCAGAAAAGCTTTGTCATCTTAACAGAAACACTGAAAACATTCTCAAAAGCTGTCAGATCTGTCAGGCCTTCACCCTAGCAAAGACCCAGGCAGAAGGGCAGGGAAGTCCTGTACTGATTTTTACAATTGAATAATTAAGAAATAGCACTAGTGAAATAAATGCTAAACTAAAAAAATCTTATGCATTTCTGGAAATAATTTCTCTAAGATTATCAAATCATTAAGTGCCTAATGATTTCATTTTCAGAGGTATTTTCACTAAGGCAACATTCTCTCATTCTTTTTTGCAAGACAATAGTCATAATTTGAAACCAATAAATTTAATAAAGAAAACTGACCTCCAGAAGATATTAAGAAACATTCTACTCTCCACTCTCTGCTTCCCACCCAGCTTTCTGATGTAACTATAAAAGAGACACTCTATAGACCTTAATGGCATTTTTTTTTGTATATTTTTTTTCTTCAAATGCTTTCCAACACTTAATACAGTGCTTGGCACACAGTGGATGCTTAATAAATGCTCGTTGACTTATGTTGAAGTCCACTTCTAACCTAATGTGACCAGTTGTCAACTATTAATGACCTAAGTTGAGAACTTCAATAATCTCTTGGCAGAAAAGTAGGAACATCAGATGGATGGCCACATGGAAAAGTCTCACTTGAGGTCAAAGGACTCAGAGAACATCCACACTTCCTTATCTCTAAAAGAGGTGGCTTGCCCATTGGTAAAGCAGCATACAAAGGTCTATCTGCTGTGTTGTCACTTGATGAACCTTTGCATCCATGTGTACATAAAGCTGTTATGTACAATATTTAGTAATGTAAATGGAGATGACACACAGTTATATATGTCTTGTCTCTTTCATTAGACCAAAAGCTCTTTATAAGAAATTATTTTCATCTATTGTATTTTTATCCTTAGTGACTAATAGAGATTATGTAAAGTACTTTACAACCTTTAAAGTCCTATGTAAATGTTCACTTTAATGATGAAGCTAAAACAAAAAAATACAACCTACCAAAAACCTCATGAAACCAAAAGAAGAAACCTTAACTTTACAGGACTCTGGAATCCATTTTAAAGAACAAGAATGTTTTTCCTATTTTCTCAAAATTGCCTTTTTATGTTTTTGCTGTTGAGGATAGTAAACAGAAAGGAAAACATTTAAGACTCGATTAGACAATGCCGTTCAATTGCTGCAATGTTACACACTTCTAGTCTATCACTGCAGTATTTATGACAATACAGAAAAGAGGAAGATACTAATGAAGTGCTACATAGTAATACTCTACTAGTCATTTCCAAACATCTTTAATTGGTTAATTTGAAGAGATGTACCTTCAATGAAGGTGACTTTTTTCCATAACGGAGGTGAAGATGTTTACCTGTTTCTCCTCATCTGGCATATCTTTTTCCAGTCTCAGTAAGTATTCTTCCTCTAGTTCTGAGGGATTCACATCATCACCCAGTTTGTCTGTTGGCTCTTCCACTCTCGCATCCTCCTTGTCTTCAAATGAGTCATTACAGTCATGAAAGCACTCATCTTCTCCCTGGTCCTGAACATCCTTTGGTACTTTGCTGTGAATATACTCATCTTTTACACTAGACACCAGGGGGCTAGCACACTCTGATTTCTGGGGATCAGTAATCTTTAAACCATTGAACAAGTCCTCCGGAGGCCCAGAATCTTCTGCTTTCTCCCCCATGTTGACTTCCATGGGAGGTTAAGGATAAGAACTTTGGGAGACAAAAAAAATTATTTAAGTTGGCCAGTGCTGTATACAAAAAGGATACTATTTGCCCATTTTATGTATACAGTACTGTTTTCTTATACACATTCAAAAAGTTGTGCATAACAATACTGTTTCATATGCATTGAAAAGTAGGAGTAAAGCGATCAAACATTTAAGCCGAGGAAGGAATGCAGATAATTTTAAATGAAGACCACTTTCCAGGTCAAATATATTACCAAGACTGCTTATAAACAGTAATTCACCTTTTACCTCTTCCTCACTAAACCTTTGTTGGAAATGCTAATTGATGGGATCACTTACCCACTATTTATTAACCATCTACAGTGTGCAAAACAATGAAAGAAAAGGAAAAATTTGGCTATAACTTGATCTCTCCCCTCATAGAACTTTCTCGTAGAAGAATAAGACCAGAATTCTCCCTTCACAGAATTTTCTAGTAGAGGAACAAGACATAAGTACTAAGTAGCAGAGAATGGTCAAAAGATAGTCAGGAGAACTGAACGGGCTGGGATACCCAGCCCCTTCCCATTTCTGCACAATGACACTGCCACCTAACACAGTCAGAGGACCACAAAGGGAACTGTAAGGATGATCTAGTCAAACACCCTCATTTTTCCAGAGGAGGAAACAGGTCCGGAGAGGGGAAGGACCTTGCATGAGGTCACAGAAGAGGGAAGGGGAGAGAGAGAGAGGTGAGGAGAGGTGGGGGGGCAGAGAAAGACATTCACACACGCAGAGACACGAGAGAGATAGGGAGGCAGAGAGAGAGTAGTGGGAGAGAGGGATCTAGATAGTGTTCATTTGGGGGAGGGGGAGCGTAGTGTTCCCAGAGGGAAGCCAGGCCCCCCATGGGGATTTTGGTCTGATGACGCCCGGCTCCCCCCCGCCCCAGCTCCTAGCACTAGCCGCGAAAGGCCCCGTGACGAGCCCCGCCTCCGGCCTCGCCTCGCAGGGCCCCGCGCCCGGCTGCCCACAACGGCTCCGTTCTACTCCCCTCCCCCCGAGGGCTCGGGCTCGGCCCCCCAATCGCCGACCCCGGAGTCCGAGCTCCTAGCAACCAAAAAGCCCCCGCCCCCAGGGCCCGAAACGTCTCCGCCTCCTTCCTCCCCGCTCTCACCGGAGGCCTGTCAGGCCCGGCCCCGAGGGCTCTTCTCTCCGCAGAACCTGCAGCCCCGACGCGGCTTCACCTTCTTCACAACTTTCACCCTTCACCTCGCGGACGCCGGTGCACTTCCGCTCGCGCTGACCAATGGCCTCGGCGCCGCGAAGCATTCTGGGAGTCGGCTACGGGCCCTAGGGCGGGGAAGCAACGACTCCCGCGGAGCTACGTCACTGTACGGACTGTGTCTTCAGCAGGTCGACGCCATGTTGTACGGAGGGGAATGAGCTGTGTGAGAGACCGAGAAACCTCTGGGAAAAGAACGCCTTATGACCCTGCAAAGTTTTCCTTTCTATGAGCCGTGGGGAACTTCCCCCTCCATTGCATTTAGTGCCCTCCTGGGAGTAGTAAACACAAAACAGCCCCCTGGTAGGAGCTAGCCTTTTCCAAACCCTTCTCTGTAAAGGCTCCTTTCCCCAAAAGCTGCCAGGGTTTCTTCTGGTGCTTTCTGGGAAGTCGTTCAACAATCAATCAACAAACATTAAGCACTTACTACGTGCCAGGAGCTATGCTAAGCAATTGCGGAATCAAAGAAAGGGGGAAAAATAAATTGACCCCAAGAGGCCTCCATTGGAATGAGACAGACAACATGTAAATATCTTTAAAAAAATAAACAAATTAGAACATAGGATGTGACAGGAAGATAATCTCAACACGGAAAGGCCTTTCGGAGAAGTGAGATTTGAGCTGAGTCTTGAAGGAAGCCAGGGAAACTTCGTTACTTAGAAAAGAAACAAAAACAACCCGATAAGCTCTGTCACTCTCTCCGCCCTTCTTCCCCTCCTTCCTGCCTCTCTTTTTCTGAGTCGTGATGACCCAGTGCTGAGTGGGCGGCCACACTGAGTAGGGTGCCAATACGGTTAGTCTCCTGGAGGGGGAGGGGGTTGGGTTAGTGTCTGAATCTACATTTGAACTCAGGTTTTCCTGCCTCCTATCCACTGCACTGCCTTGGGTAATTTCACAATGCTTTTAAGAATGTGTATTATATAATTACTATGTAAATTATTATTAAATATTTTGGTTGTTCAATAATTTATATCATAATTAGGTAATACACATTCTTAAAATTCTTCTTCTTCTTCTATAGATGAGGCAGGGATGCAACTCGTCCAATATCAGAAGCAGTGCTTGTTCCACTACAATACGACTTTAGATATCTAGTATCTTACCCTTCCATGCTGCAAACTATACTAATCACCAGAAGAAAACTCTCTAAAGACGATTTTTTAAAATATCTGCCATGAAGCCTCAGCAGTTACTTTTTTAGTGACAAGCAAGGTGACTAAGATGGTGGTTTAGAAGCTGGCTATGGACAATGGTTGTTAATGCCAGTGATAAGTGGATGAAGATGACGGATTAAATGGAGTTCGTGAATATTCTGCATTGAGGAAGCCATTAGGAAGACTGCAAATTACATTGAAATCAAACGTGATATGGCTTCTGAACTAAGTTCCCCTCCTTTACACCCCGGTTGGCACCCATCTTTGGACAGTGAAAGGAAATTCAGTCACAGCTGGCATGGACTGAGCTAGCAAAGCTTTCTTTCTGGGTTCATCAGCTTGAACCATACAATATTTCCCAGCCCCCACATCATTATATTAAATATCTATGCCTATGTAGGGACTAAAAACTGGGTGGTGTGACGGCCCAAACACTGCCTGGTAACTCCACTTCAGGCATGATGACAGTTGCCATTAACCCTGGAGTAAAAGGAAAGGCATTTCTTTGTACCTTCCCAATCTCTGCAGTCCCTGGATCATTGTGCTTTGTGGTCTGGATGCAGAGGTTCTGAGAGGAGAATTGAGAAGGGAGATAAAAGGGTCCCACCTATGTGACACTTTCTTCCTTGATGTGAGAAGGAAAAGGTGACCAGCTTCTCACTATGTAATAGGAGACACTACTCTTGAAAGAAAAGGATGCTTTTCAGGCCTTTGGCCCCAACTCCTCAGGGCACCATTCTTCAGGGATACCACTTAATAATTAGCAAAGCAAGGGAACAATCCTTTATTAAGTGCTTACTATGTGCTGGGCATCACAATAAACCGTAAGAATACAAATACGAGCAAAAAGAAGGACAGTCCTTGCCCTTAAAGAGCCTATGTTCTAATGAGGGAAGATGACACCCAAAAGGGAGTGGAAATGATTCTTCTCTTATTGGCTTGCTAGGCTCTATCACAGATCAAGTCTGGAGAACCATTTTTATTCTGGTTCCCTTTATATGGAAAAAAGAGGAAGGAGGGGCTATCAAATCTGTGTTTCCAGCCTAAGATACTTTTTTGGGCTCTTGTTCAGTCCAATCCAACCCTTCATGACCCTATTTGGGGTTTTCCTGGCAAAGATACTGGAGTGGTTTGCCATTTCCTTCTCCAGCTCATTTGACAGAGGAGGGAACTGAGGCAGAGTTAAGTGATTTGCCCAGGGTCACACAACTAGGAAGTATCAGGCTGGATTTGAACTCAGGAAGGCCAGTCTTTCTGACTTCAGGCCAGGCACTCTATCCACCTAGCTGCCCAGACTTTTTATACTGTAGGATCAAATATTAAAATTTAAAATATGTAAAGATTTATGGTTGGAGGACATCAGTAAGGTATGTTGTTTGAATTGTTTTTGTAGATGTGATGAATTTGTGTGGCTATCCCTACTACTTTATTGCCTGTTTACTGTCATAAGGAATTAGCAAATATTTACTGAGCCCCTACTTTGGTCAAAAGAGACATCCTAAAGGTACTCTGAGGATAAAGAAAAAAAAGGAATAAGAACTAGTCTTGCCCTCATTGAGCTTACAACATAGTTAGAGATATAAAGTATACTTAGGTGAAGTGTTAGCTTTCATAATGCAGGTAACATGTAGGTATCCAAACCTTAAAAAGTAGTATAGAAGTTGAGAGGAAGGAGATATCACTGGTTCAGCAGGACCAGAAAGTTTTCATGGAGGAGGGAGGACTTGAACTGGGTCTTAAAGGATGATGGTTAACGCTTAGATAAGCAGAGGGAAAGATAGGGAGTATATCAGGTGGGGGGAATGCTTTTGTTCCTACAAAAGATGGTGTGATTTAACATCAATTCTCAGCCTCCAACAAAATCCAGATAGGCAGAAAGGGGGGCAGCAGGACAGGCCTTCCAGGTAAGGGGAAAAGAAGTAGCACATCTTTCGCCACCCCTCCAACCTCTTTCCAGTCCCACTGGTACTATTTAGTTCAGGCTTTCATCTCTTTTTTCCTCTTTATTCCTCATTTGGCTGCAATCTTCTGAATTTCTTCATCATGCCTCAGGAAACTCTTCCTTTTGCAAGATCACATCAGCCCTGGAACTCACACATAATCAGTACCCTCTGTCCTGGTAGCCCTCTGATTAATCAGAAGGGCAGACAGCTCCTCCAGAACCTTGGATTTAGGAGGGCACCCAGGCCAGCCATCTCTTTATTTCCTACTCAGCTGTATTCTTTTGGATTTGGGTTTCTCCATCTTGCCCCAGTGTGGGGGTACTTTACCACTTCCCCCTCCACTTCAGTTTCCTTTTGTGTATTGTCTTCCCCCTTTAGATTGTAAGCCCCCTGAGGGCAAGGACTGTTTGTATATGTATTCCCAGCACTTAGCACGGTGCCTGACACTTAGTAGGCATGATAATAATTTTTCATCTTTGATTTCTTTTTATTAACATTTGTTAGGAGGTCAGGGCCATTTCTCCTACCTAGGAGGTTACTGAGCTGTTTGAAACCTGTCCCATGGGATATAAAAATTTATTTAAGGTCTCAAACATTCCTCAGATTAGAAGCCGAAAAATGTAGTTAAGGTTTCCTGAAACAAATTACCTTACCTTATTTGAGAAATGGATTCTGCTCTGTAGACATGTAAATCTCCCCTCTCCTCATTTAAATTTAGTTTAATCTGTAACCTGACTTAGATTATTAGGTTTACTTCCTTAGGAGATGTATGAGATAATGATTCTGCTTAACTAATAAAACCCAGTTTTTAAAATTCTGCAATTTCTGCATTTTGGTAGATTTATTTCAGCAGTAGTACCACATGAACTCAAAGAGGAGGCATTTTTCCCATAACACAGGTGCTTAATAAATGTTTATTGACTGACTGACTCAGACTACTTTAACAGAGTGTGCTCATGGGCCTTTTCTACCTCTAGTATCTTCCCTCTAATGCATACTCCGTATCACTTAGGTAACAATTCTTAGAAATTAATTTCTTTACAATGTTTTTTTAAATATAGTCTTTATTTCCAACTATATCCTTTCCCTATCTTTCCCCACAATGAGCCATCCTTGTAACAAACAAAATAAACTAACTAAACCAAAAAAGAAAGGTGACAAAGATGTGATGAACTAGAGGTAAAGACTCAATCAACCAGTCAACAAGGATTTATTAAACACTGCTAGTGTCAGTCGCTGTACTAAGCTCTAGGGATACAGACAGGCAAAAACAGTCTTTGACCTGAACGTTTTAGACATAGTCAATATGTAGATCTGTTTTGTATAATTATGCTAATATGGAGGCATATATATATGTATGTATATATATATATATACACATATATATACATACATCATATATATATATGTATATATATATATATATATACATATATATACATACATCATATATATATATATATATATAAAGCTCAAAACTCTTTTTAAATTTTTCTGGAAATGTTAATAAATGATTTTTTTTCTAACTTAAAAACCCTTTCCAAGACCTTTCTGTATTTGAAAGTGTGCAGAAGGCCAAGAATTAAAGGGAATTCTTAGGGAAATGGACTAGGAATGGAAACCATGCCTTCAACAAAGAATACCTTTTGTCTTATTAAACTCCTTGCCTGCTCCTTCCCTTGAAGATAGGGTTATGACCCACCTAGGGACCATTTTCCCTTCTCTCTTCATAAAAGATTAAGATGTTGATCAAAGGGAGAAGATCCTTTTGATTACTCTAAGAAAACACTGGAGAGGAGTGGTCAAGGAAGAAATTGAATATTGACTATTGTTTTGGAATATTAATACTAAACTGTATTTTAACATTTAAAACCTTCATCTTGTTCAAGATGACTATA